GTCCGTGACAATTAACAATTTTCTATAAATTGTGACGATTAATATAATGAATTGTGAAATAATAATAATTCATTTTTTAAGTAAATAATATTTCTTCTATTTAAAGCTGGCTTCAAGCCAGTTTGCAAGGAGCCTTACTTTTACACAGTCAAATTCAGCCAGTTTCGCATATGATTTAGGTATAGAAAAAAAATAACAAAAGAAATAAAGAAATCATATGCTTTATTCTCCAAAATTATGATTTTTATATCATATAATTTTTTAAATATTTTTATTATGTAAATTTTTGAAAAACACAAAAATACTGTAAACATTTTAAAATTTAATAAAGTACTAGAAATATAAAAAGTAAATTTTATATGAAAATGAACAAGAACTTAGGTTATCTAATAATAAAATTTTATGTATTCTATTAAAGGATTCTTATATTAAATAAAGAATTTTTTCAAAAATCAACAATCCTATTTGAAGACTCAAATTGATTACCAAATAGAAATGCAAATACTTAACCATAAAGAGTATTCAGCTAAAGATGGATTTGAAAACAACAAGCAACTGAACATAATTACCAGGGCAATATTAATTTATCCTGAAATTGTAGAACTTTGGAAACAAATTAGCTACTATGATGTATGTAAAGATGTCAATAATTTAATATTACAAGGAACTTTGCTAATTCTATTCTATCCAAATTATAAAAATGATGAAGTTTGTGTTTATCCAACCATAAATGATTTTGTTGAACAACTTCAACAATTAATCAAAGTTGGATTCAAATTGATAAAATTTGTTATGGCTGATATTTTAATTTTGTATGAACAACACCTTAATGAAATTGGAGGGACACTCTTAGAAGCCTTTCAGGTTGTTAGGAGTCTGACAAAACTTGAAATTATTGAATGTTGTGTTGTAGAAACTATCAAAATCAACAGGAATTTGAAAAACATCAAATTCTAAATTTTCTAAAGATGCAAATTGAAGAAAATAATATGAATTAAGGATACTGACTGCAACTTTTGGTGGTGATTGCTACCACCTTTGCGTCATATAAAAATGTTTGCAACCACCTTTATGACCATTTTGTTTCTTTTTTTGTATTGCAACATGGAACACTAATTTGAATTGCATGAAATTCTAAAATTTCATTTTTTAAAAATTATAAATAAGAAATTGCTAAAATTTCATTTAAAAAAATAAATTTATATACAGTGTATAATAAAATATTATATAATAATAAAAAAAACGCGTGCTTGAAATTCAAATTAGCCAATCAGAATTTTGTATCCCCAAATTTTTCACAAAAAAAAACCATTTCAATATTTCATCTTTATCAATACCCTCACTTTCATCATCATCATCATCATCACTTTTATCACTTTCGCTTCCCATATTTTCATCATCAATGATTGTAATATCAATATTGATGGTATTTTTTGGACATTTCAAATATATTATTTGACTTCTTTAATGTATGGATTATCATTCAACAAAATTCATTGTAAATAGATAAGATCAATTAAAATGCATAACAAGTTATTCTTGCTGGCATTATTCTTTCTGGATGAAGTTGCAAATTCTCTATCAATCCAAACTTTTGATATAATCTTGTTATTAATGAATCTGGATTGAAATTTTTCAACACCAATTTATACAAGTTGCTGCTTAATTTTAATGATCTTATATTGTTAATTGGGGCCTCAATATTTGAATTTATAAATTTGTAATTATCACCACATATTAATTTTACAACATAATATTTTGTCCAGTATAGTGGTTTTTTCCCAAATCCTCAATATTACATACATGGATGATAATTAGTTGATCTATTGTTGAAATTATCTATATTGTTGTCATTGCTAATATTGTTGTTAATTGAATTGTCAGTGTTGTGAGTAGAAGAGCTATATTGTTTAAAAATTTGAAAATCAATAAATTTTTCTGGTCTTATCATCAAAATAATTAGGGCTTTAAGAAAGACATGTTCTAAAGAATTCTCTTCAATTTGTATCTTTAGAAAATCTAGAACTTGTTTTTTTAAATTCCTGTTGATCTTAATAACTTCCACACACAACATTCAATAATTTCAAGCTTTGTCAGATTTCTAACAATTATGAAAAGCTTCTAAAGTGTACCTCCAATTTCATCAAGATTTTGTTATATAAAATTGAAATATCAGCCATGACAGATTTTGTCAGCTTGAATCCAACTTTGATTAATTGTTGAAGCTGTTTAACAAAATCATTTGTAGTTGGATAAACACAAACTTCATCATTTTTATGATTTGGATAGAGTAGAATCAGCAATGATCTTGTAATACTAAATTATTGGCATTTTTACATATATCATAGTAGCCAATTTGTTTCCAAAGTTCTACAATTTCAGATAAATTAATATTGCCCTGGCAATTATGTTGAGTTGCTTGTTGTTTTCAAATCCATCTTTGGCTGGATACTCTTTATGACTAAGTATTTGCATTTTTATTTGGTAATCAATTGAGTCTTCAAATGGGGTTGTTGGTCTTGGAGGAAAAGGTACAAATTTTTTATTTAATATAAGATCCTTTATTTTTTCAAGATTTTCTTTTAATTTTGTTGGAGCCAAATCAATAGATAATGGTCCACCAGTCAAAAAATGAAAAGTTTCAATATCATTTCCTTTCAAAGGAAGATCTGGACCATACTGTTCTTTAGCTGCTTTTAACAAGGCTATAAATATTGATACTGGAATATTTGAAGCCCAAGGATTTCTATAATATTTTTGAGAAGCCATAGAAATTTCTTGATCTGTGCCATTATTGTTATTAATGTTATTATTAATGTTGTTGTTGATGTCATTTTTGATTTTTAGTTCAATTAGACTATGATCAGATTTTCCAAATTGTAATAATAATCTTTGCACAAGATATCTAGATAAAATAACATTTTCTTTGATAAGAAGATCAACTAATTCTAATGATATAAAGGTATGTCCATAATGAATCGCGTAAAAAAAAGCATGTGCTTTCCCATGTTGATTAATGATCCATTTTACTCTTGTTTTGTGGTTTTTTGATATCTTATACCAATCTTTATTAGTTAAAATCAGTGATAGAGGTCGTTTAGTATTTATAAAAATTTGTTCTTTAATCTTTAGATGATTCATTGTTTATTGGATATATTTGGTAGGATCTGCAAAAAAAAAAAATAGATTAGGATCCATATTACCTAAAATATTGAATTTTGGGGTGGGGGATTGGTAAATTAAGAGTGTATGAAATCAGGTAAACTCGATAAGTCGGTCATTTATTTATATTATCAAACAAATACTTTAAACAATTGACTGCTGCGTCTGACTTATCGAATTTACATGTGTATGTTGAAAAGTATGTTAAGAATGTTTTTAAGTATATACACATGTAAACTCGACAAGTTAGTCCTCTTGATCAATTATTTAAAGCACTTGTTAATATAATAAATAAATGTCCGACTTATCTAGTTTACCCGTGTAAAAGTCTGGAAAGATAACACCCCCTTTTACGGCTGTGTAACAGTTGTTTCGAGTATTAGTATTAGTACGAGGTGCTATCTTTCTGAACTTTATGGTATGTTTCAAGTATTTTTTTATATTTAGGGCATTTTTTAGTATTACAGACATAAAAATAGTTAACTTACCTTTTCGCTTGATATTGAAAAGTTTTTACCCATATTTCACTATTATTATATTTATATAAAAATAAAGTGGCGCATGTTTGCATTAATAAATTAAAAATTACTGTTTATATAAAAATAAAGTGGCGCAACATAAACATGTTTGCATAATTATTTGGTAAATTAAAAATATACTAATACAGTATAAAAGAGTTTTAATATCCAAAAATGATGAAAGTAATGATTTATTCAATTATGGAAACATATATTGAGATTATTCCAACTATAGCATTTATTTTTAAAATAGCACCGATTATACCTCTTTTTAATACTCTAGAAAAAATATTCTCCAATAAAATATAAATAATAGAATGAATTTTGGGTAATTGTTTAATGATATGATTAAACGGACTAGAAATGGAAAATTTTTGATTTTGAAAAAGTATATATATATATATAACCATTGAGAAACTAAAACTTTTTTCCGATTGAATTTACACATTGGATGTAATAATACAAAATCTACAATTCATTATCAATTGTGTGATGAATATTCTTATTGGCTTTTTCTTCGAAAAAGAATGTGCCCTTCAGTGTATATAACAAAAAATGGTATGTCCCTTATTATCAAAATATATTAATATCTAACAGTGAATGTTTCTAATATCAATTAATACTTAAAGATGAGAACTGCAATTAGCCGCAATCCAACTTTCATATTTCACAACTACGTCATAATTTAATTCTCATAAGCCGCAATTAGTTGTAAACTAGTCGAATTAATTGATTTCTCGGTAATAGAATAATGAAAATAACGGGTTGATATTGTAAAGTTCATAAAGAGTATCATTGTCTTTTTTCAATTATTTTGTTTTTGAAACAAAATAATCTTCACTATTGTTATTAATGCATCATTTTATTATTTTATTAATTATAATTTATCACATCGTGCGCGTCATTTAATTTGTATCAATTTGATCCTCATAGCCTATTGTTTTTACTGTCATCAATTAATTAAATTCTCATAATAAAAAAACCCAGAGGTTACATGAAAATTTGGGTGAACTATTCTGGGTATAGTAGAAAATTTTTATTATAAGTCGTATCCAAAATCAGGTAAAGCAAGTTTTATGTCATATGAATTATTATGGGTAAAACAAATTTTAAAATAGAAAAATAGGCAAGGGTTAAATTGTAATTGAATTAAAAGGTATATCAGTAATAGCAGTAACTGTTTTTGATCATGAAGGAAGTTAATTGAAAATATTACCTCAGATTTTGGGGTTTCACACGACTATATAGTTATTTTGATTTTTTTAGCATTTACAATTAATTTATTGTAATGCTTTCTACATAATGCTTTTCTAACTAAGTTTAAATATCTGGTATAGTAACTTTATCAGATATTATAGAAGCATTATTAATTTCATAATCGCATACAACATCATCTTGACCCTCTAAATCACAATATTGTGCCTTTCTTCTCTTACCTTTACTGGAGGATGCTTCTTGAGATGTGTTTTGCTCGTAGTCCATTTTTCTGTAAAGTGTAATTATTAAATTATTATTATTATATATTAATATTAATAATGTAAAATTTTCTAAATGTAAAAAAGACTTTTATAGCTATTTTCCGAATTATTTCGAATTACTTTGGTAGTATTAGTATATAGAATAGAAGGTGAAGTTTTGAAATGTGGTTTATATTGTTCAACAATCAATTTTGGTCCAACAATTGGTTTAAAGTCAGGCTTTCATATATATAACAAATGTCGATCATCCCATAATGTTTATTTAATAACCGCTTTATACTTATTATTTATTTAAATTTATATTTAAAAAAAACAAAGAAAAATTAAATTAATTAAAAAAAAACATAAGAAAATATTATCATTATATTAAAATAATAGTTTTGATAATTGTTCATAATTAAAAATCTTAAAATTAAAGCATAGTTAAAATAATCATATTAATATAATTATTTCATTGGTTTAACGATTAAAGAAATTTGTTTGTTTACGAATTTAAACGATTGCCAAAAAATTAATATTAATTGATTTTCAACCTTCGAGTTGGATATTTAATCGAGTTGAAGTTTGTCTGCTAAAATAATAAATTCGTCTGTGTATTCAATACTGGAATTTCGCCATGAATTAGCAAAAACTTTTGCCAACTCCGCATTAGTAATGTTAAAATTGGGAATTTTCTGTATTTCATCTAACAATGCAAAATAGAATAATGCTTGCGGACCTGATAAATCTGTACTGGTGTTATTTTCAAGAAGTATTTGTGCATATTCAAGATCAGGCACGTAGATTGTAATGACCTGACCATTATATAATTGGCAGTGGTGGAAATGTTATCACAGTCGTTGCCATCATCAGGAGTAATTTGAATTTCAGGGGCAGTCATAGAAGTATTGGTTTGAAGAGATGATTGTAATAATTGAGGTTGTTGTAATGTTTGTGGTGGTGAATCAAGGCAACAATTATTATCGCTAATCGGAGAAAGGATTTATTATTAAATGGTGTAGATGGAGAATGCATGTGAGGAAGAGAAAGAAGAGGAGAATTATCCAACAATAATTGATTGTAAATTAAATTAGTGTTTCTATTGCTATTAAAATCTTCTAAATTATCGTCATTTTGTTTTCGAGAATTGAATCCAAGTTCATACGGTGAACATGTTGGTTCAGAAAATTCAACGTACTAATAAATAATATTATATTTGGAAAGTCAATAAATGAAAATGAAAACATTAATTACATGAACCAAATATGTGTATTATTACCTTTGCGTCAAAGTAATACGGATGAAATTTACCAGGAATCCTTTGATGGGATTGTTCTAGTTGTAATTTATTATTTAAAAAGTGTTCGTTATTATTAATACTATTATCATTACAATTGATGCTAGTATTAATAAATATATTCTCATCATAGATCAAAGATTGAGAAAGTGAATAAGAAGTGTACTGGCAGTTATGATTTATCAATCTATCACATTCAACCTTTTTGCTTTTACAGAACACGCAAGATATACCCAAAGTTACCGCCATTGAAGATTGTGGTGACATAGTTAAAAGTAATAATTTTTTAGTGCAATATTTTGTTGCGGACCAATTCAAAACTTTTTCTCTGACTGGTGAACAAGCCCCTTTAATCAAAGAAAATAAATACTCTAAGGAAAGTTTAGAGTTATTAAAGTGAGAAAAAAAAAGTTAAAAGAGAAAGCCGATCCTTTTATATTCTTCAGCCAAGTCATTATTAAAGAACACAATAATAAAAATCGAATTATTAATAGTCAATTAATTCGTGATCCACCAGTTTAAGGAATGGATTTGTACAACCCATAAACCATATAATAGTTCAAGCTCTTAATTAATACCGATCCGGGAAAGTTTTTTAACATAGTAATAATAATAGTAATCGATTTTTCGCCCCCATAGAAAGTCATGCATTTATTATGTTACATAAAAAAAATTTTATATCAAATCAAAAGTAAAAAACTATATTTACTTACAAATATATGGGCTATTAAATTTGTCAGTTTTCTGTTATTTAAGGAGCGGTCCTGGATTGTGGGTATAAAATTCATATATTTAAATATATAAAATAATTAGAATGTGTTCCAGATGAGTATAGGGACATTCAGTATGGTAGAATTCTTGCAAAACGTATGGTATGGTATTGTATAAGTGTAATAAAATGGTTGTATACCAATGCTTAAATCTAACATACTTCCCTTCACACCCACCAAAAAAGGATTTAGAATAAAATTTTGTGTGACTTGGTATGGAAAAATATGGGCTATACCATACCATACCATACGTTCTGCAAGAGTTATACCATACTGAATCTTTCCCTACCAGTTCCAGATTATGGACTCTAATTGATTTTACTATGATGCTTATCCCGGAATTTTACTATGTAGATCCTTTCCTTCATTGATCACGAATTAAGGATTAAAACCTAATTTTCTTGCAAATCAAAATCTCGGAGTCAGAGGGCCCCGGCTAAGCCATGTAAGTCGTCTAATCCAGCTAACATTACTAATCAAAATACTTTATGATCTTATCTTTACAATCCAGGGAGACGAGTTTAGAGTTAAAAACATGACTTTAATATGGTTTCGTTTGGACTCGATCAAAAATTCTTATCAAAAATCAATTAATTGGTTAATCACTGATTATAAAAAAATTTGATGTTGCTGAAATTTTCGGTTATTTCTGAAAGAATTGGAATTCTCTGGCACTCATTCGACAATTTGAATACATTAATATTTCCGTCAAGAACTGGTATTATCGTCTCATCTAAATTTCATCCAAATTTTTATTAATGTTGAGTTATTGCGTTTTTGTATTCTAAGCATTGCATTAAAAAGTCATCCTGCTGTAACGAGTTAGATTCACCATTGATGTTTTTGTGCGTCTTGAACTTTTGATGAGATTTCATTTAAAGAAATACTTCAAAGCAATACTCCTTTTTTTACTTCCTCCTCGTAAATTAATTATTTTTTAATACGAGTTTGAGAACCAACAGTACTTAAAGATTTGATGGATTTGGATGATGGAGTTTCTAAGCTGAGAGTAGGACTACAAATATAATTATCATGATTGTCGTAATATATTGATTCTGGATAAAAAAGAAAATTGTATTTGATCAATGTTAAGCCATAAAAAATTGAGTGACAAAAATACATATATGGTGATCTGCAAATATTTTTTCTTTTTCTTCTATATTACTATTACTGTTACTATTTAGAGTCTATAATATAATATTTTAAATGTCTAATTATATGCAAAATAACAAATTTATTTACTTATTTTGTTTTGTGTTCTTATAATCAAATAGCAGCTATATCAATGAATAATAATAGAAAAATGTTCATTTAATATTAGAAAATATCATAATCAGAAGGTACGTACTGTACATACGTATGATATACGAAAATAAATAATTTTTTTTACGCATTAGTATAATTAATAACAATTCCTTCCCTTTTTTATTTAAATGATTTGTTTAATGTATTTATGTATTTTGTTTCTCAATTTGTTTTCTATCAACTTCATTTCCGAAAATATTCTTTCTACATATGCATTGGAAAAAGTTATAAGAGGTGCTATTTTAACAACAATTGTTGAATTTGGGTAATTGAAAGAAAAATTATTATCTGTATCCAAATATATTTCCATAATTTGATAAAATTCATTTCCAAATTTTTACAGGATTATAGATAAAATTTTAGAGAGTTCTATTATCCATTAATTTTCCTCTTTCAATTATTTCATAATATTCATCGTTTGTTAATTTAGCATTTGCATAAAATTTATCTAAAAACTTCTTTCTGACTATACACGTGGTCGAAATTATTGAATTGAGTCACGATACAATTAAAAATCAAGAAAATTGACATTGCGTCACTTACCATAATTTTATGCAACTGACGCAAGATGCAATTCATGACGTAAGATGCAATTCGTGACTCAAGACATAATTCGTGACGCGAGACGCAATTCGTGACTCAAGACACAGTTTGTAATTCGTGCGTGACGCATGACTCAATTATTAACAGAATATTTAAAAACATAATTGAAATTTATTTTATGTAATAAATTGCATCAAAATTTGAATTTCTAATATAATTTTCAACATTTTTATTGCCATCATCATTTTCTTTTAAACATAACAGATATTTGATCAGAAATATTTACATAAACTTCCAATTGTAACACACACTTTATCTTCAATTTCTTCTAAATGAGTTAGACAATGTGTGTGCCTGCATCAAGTATTTGCGCCTCAATTTGTTCAGTTGATAGACTTCAAAAATTACATTTGATTTTCTGAGTTTGAATGTATTCTGTCCATTTTTCCAATTCGAATTGGACCTTGAAAAAATACTTTCACAGTTGGTTGAATGTTCAAACTCATTCCATCCCATTAAATTGATCAATACAATAGTTATGAAAATCTTGATAAGTGTGGTTTGTAAGTGTTGCACCCATTTCCCCAACAGGATGTTTCTATATAATACATTCTATCAGTTTATCGTAATGTTTTCTTTCCATGACCATGTCATGTCATTATTGAGTTGTCAGAAAATCGACTTGTTGGAAAGTCGTACCGGTCCTATTTGTAATTGCTGATATGTAGATGCAAGGCAGCCAGTGGTACACTTTTCGATCCAAGAATTCCAATGGAATTTTTAATTGGTTGACGAACTAAAGTCAATTGTCATATATCATCAAAAAAACAAAAACCACGTGTATGGAATATTCTAGTACAATTACCATTTATAATCTTGACTCTAAATAAAATTTCTAATATAAATTATCTAAAGTAAAACTATTTATGCGTTTTTAAAGGTTGAATGTAATCTTAATATAGTTTCACGAATATCGGATTTAAAAATTTTTTTTTTGTCAAATATAAAAGGATTACACAAATCTTTCATTGATTATTAAATTCACGTTACAATGAGTTTTTAAAATTTCTGCTTCGTGATTAGTAATTTTGGGTATAACGAATAAAGATGGCTCCTCAATTAATTGCGGTTAATTGCGGTCCCATCTTTAATAACGGATGTACAAGAGAATTTAGTTGTTTACATGTTCATTAATAAGCTGTTCCACTAATTGCGTCTTGCATCACGAATTGCGTCAATTGCGTCTTGCGTCACAGGTTGCGCCAATTGCGTTACGAATTGCGTCAATTGCGCCTTGCGTCTCAGGTTGCGCCAATTGCGTCAATTGCGTCACGTCGCCTTCTAACACATCATCATTTGATGTAAATCATGCGCAGAATTTGATAATGACAATCACCAAGTCTCGCTAATAACGACTAACAAATATAATGTCATATATAGGTTTTTAAGGCTTTTAATAGTTTTTAAGTTAATAACCTAAAACTGAAAGATTTTTATGCCATCACTAGGGATATCTAAAGAAAGAAAGGATTACCTATGGGATTTTCCAAGAGGAGAGGAAAGAAAAATAATAAGTGTTAGGAAAGGAATAAGGTGTGCAATTACCCAGCAAAAACCAGAAACCCTTCCTTAAAAGGAAAATATTAATTATTAGTACATCTATTTTTTTTAGTGCTTTTAGCAAAATAATAAAGCTATAATACTGAATACTGAAGTTATACCTGCTATTCATAATCGCATAGATTTACTATCAAACTTTTCTTCTTCATTCTTTGAAGCATTGTTTTTATATTTTATTGCTGCTTTGGTAAAATCTTCATTTTTTATAGGGCATCACTAATACCAATTTCCGAATGTTAGATATCTGGCAGTCTTATAATCAGAAAGGACAAGAATTTTCTTTTTTTTCTTGGTTAGCAAACTTTTCTCTAAATTCTGAAGTAATCTATACAGTGTCATCAATAAAGATGTCAAAATTATGGTGGTTTGTTTTTGTTCAATTACAACGTCTTGGATTGTATTTAGCTTTATTTTTACTCTTTGTCTGCATGTAAATTTCACATTTTGTTGGGGAAAATGACCAAAAGTCTTTTGAAAATTTTTTTTATTTACTTAACACAAATGAATTGTCGAGAAAGAAAAAAGCCGAAGAAGTAAAATTAGATACCAAGACTCACTTGGAAACCTTAGAAGTAGACCGAAAATGAAGAGAAAGACAATCGGCTGAAAAGTTAGATTGCAAACAATCGGGAAGTAAATTATCATGCACAAAAAATTCAATAATTAAAACAAGAATTATGTTTAGATAGTGAGAAAATTTACCTAAAAAAGAAACAAAAATAAATAATTGAAATAAAACCCAACCACCCACATTAGTTCTATTTTCAACTTCTTTAATCTTTAAAATATAATATCCACATGCTCATATATGTTAAGTTAGGTAATAAATTATCCCTTCCGATTTTATTTTCTTTCTAGATTCTTCATGGTTTTGTGTCAATGTCCTTTTATTAGTTATGATTTTTCTTTCCTCTTGGTTAATCCTTTCTTTCTTTAGATAAGCTTCAAGCACCTGAGTCTTATTTATTTTTGAGAATATAGGGCGTAGTTTTCTCACCTTGTTTCTCTTTCAAAATATTTCTGATTGTATTATAAATTTGGATCCATAGTAGATGTGATGTAAATGAGTTTTATTTTATAGGAGTAGTTCTATATATCATTTAAAAAAGGAGATTATAAAATTGTTAAATCATAATAATAATCACAGTACTAAATTTTGATCCCTTCTTTGTGGTAGAAATGTTCACTTTGTTGCAGCATGCCCCATATAAGGAATATTGTTGACAATATATTTTCCCACAGATGCTAAATATTTATGATTATCAATACTATTAGCTTCATGCTCCAATAAATTGAGGAATTCAATTCTTCAAAAAGTGATTTTTTAATTATAGAGGATTTTGCATAACTTCCATATTTTAATTTAGACCTTGATGGTTTGTCTATAGAAGCAGGTTTTAATGTGGAAACCTTATCACCAATGTTATTTTCAAATTTGTAAAGACATTAAATCACACAAATCAGAATAAATGTTTAGTGAATTATTTTGTTTTGGACAGAAATAAATATTTCTTATTGATAAAATAATTGTATCCAATTATTTCTATATACACGTTTCACTTTGATCTGAATCAAGTAACATTAATTCAAATTCTTTATGCTCAATGGTGGTGTTTGAGTGATTTTCAATTTGATCTAATCTAAAAACATTTGCGCCTTTTTCAAATTTTGATTTTCCATTTTTGATTTTACAAACTTACAAAAAATCAATGTTTTCTGGTTGATTTCTTCAGCCTCTAACCATTTATATTTATTGATGAATCAATCTTGATTAACAATTTTTCTATAACGTATTCTTTTTCTGCATAAAATCTGTGAATTATTATTTAATTTCGTTACAATAGACAGTAATTTTTAATGTTAGTATATGTTATGGGTCAAATTATGTTCTTTTTTCTAATATTATTGCAAACTTTAGGGACAAGTTATATATTAAATGAAGTTTGTGGGGTCCTTGTAAAGCACGTTTTTTATTTTATTTGTTTTCGATCGACGAATGGGAAGCACGCAATGATCAACAATTAATATATTTTTATTGTAACCTATAACGCAAGATACCATTTTTAGAAAACATTATTATTATTGAAGAAATAAGCCCATCTATCATTTAATTTATTATCTTGGTCACCATCTTCATCTAGGGATGGGGCGGTTCCGCTCTGCTCCTATGGAGCCGCTCTCCGTTACACAAAAATCAAAATGTTTCACAGAAAAAAATACAAAACCTTGGGCGACGAATAGACATTTTGATATAAGAGGGTGATGAATAACTCATTTTTTTAGAGTGACAATTAAACTTGGCATATTAATATATATATACATTAAAAATGTTGTATTTTTTTTTTTAAGCAGAATTTTCCAAAAAGCATTCGTCATTTAATAGCAAGTCCACTACTTTTAAAGGAAATTGTATCACATAAATACAATAAATTTAGCAAAATAAATATATAGTAATAATAATAGTAATGTGTCACGAAAAAATTTTAATTGAATTTAACAAAAATAAAATAATTGAATTTAGCGAAGATAAAGTAATCGAATTTAGCAATGTGTCGCGAAAATAAAATAATTGAATTTAGCAATGTGTCGCGAAGATAAAGTAATCGAATTTAGCAATGTGTTGCGAAAATAAAATAATTGAATTTAGCAATGTGTTGCAAAAATGAAGTAATTGCCAACTATTATAAAAATGCCGGTATCCAAACCAACTCAGAAGTTTTCTCACCTTTGTTTTAATATTTATAATTAACATTAATAATAAAAATGGATGAACAAATACAAGAAAATTTTGATGATCAAGAAATAGGCAACTTCCACCAAGAGAATTTTTAGATCAACCCTGATGAATCAATTATTCGTTTTTTTTATTATTTTATTATTATATATTTATTTAAATAAAAAATTGTCAAGAAAAAAATTCACGTGATATATTCAAAGATCTTTCCTTAAAAAGAAAGATTATCCAACAGCGGCTCCAGAGCCGCTCCTCAGCTCTATATCGGTTCGGTTCCAGAGTCGCTTAGGAGCGGCTCCTTAACGGAACCGCCCCATCCCTATCTTCATCAAAATATGACAGTAATGGAAAATTAATTTAATCTGTGCTTCCAACATAAAATTATGAGGGTCAATCATAAACCCTGCCACTCCGGGTGCAAAATATGATTAATTTCTTGACGTCGAATTTCGAATGTCTTGTGGAAACTAAATTATAAATTATAATAGTTATCGTAATGATGTTTTTATCGGTTATTTTGAATGAATAATTACATAGTAAAAATAATTTAATTAATAAAATTAGACCGTTTGAGCTGACAGATCACTGCCTTTTCTTTCCGTGCGGCTGTTAGTTCCTGAGAATAACATTCAATAGTTATAACTATGTTTCAATAAGAAAATTATTACAAAGACATTCACAACACCTCAAATCTAATATTATTTGTTATCCAATCTGATAATATGATTTTTACGTTTCTATTTTAATGTTGTTATTACCTCTATTATCATTGTTACTTTTATTTTCTTTTCATACGTCCGTTAATGCTAAAACATATTTCTGTGTGTATAACCTTCTGAAAATGTGTTTTCACTTGATTAAATCGATTGATGATGTTGAAAATCATTTAATAAATTCGAATTCGAAACTTTCGAAAAATCACACAAGTTCCGAAATCAAAATATTCTTGACGAATTCAAAATCCCAAATCCAAATTCAAAACCGAAATTCGAAATCAGAATCAGCCATCTGCCTTTTGTGGTGATGTGACTGAATCTTGATTTGTTTAAGAATACACTTCTACTAATTGTATTAAAGATTTTAACATATCCTTGGATAAGTATTTTTACTTTTCGATATTAGTAGCCATAACTATGCCTTTCAAAATAAATAACTAAATATTTTTGGTGAATATTTCATTTCTAAAAATGAATTAATTATTGAAATGTTTGTTTGGTTACTATTACCCTAATATTACAGAAAATTTTCACAGTGAATGCACAGGAAAATGTCCAAAAAACACAAAAAACATATGCTAATATTATAAAACATATTCACTCCTTACTTATCCTGTATTTGTTAATATTAAATATTAATATTAACTAAAGGAAGATTCAACTTAAAGCTCCTTTCAGGCCAAATAACTTATTTGACTCATGCAAAGCTTTACTTTATTAATCACTTTATCATTTTTATTTTATTAAAAAAAAAAAGTTTTTGCATACATATAATAAAAGGACATTTAAATATTTAATTTTAGTTAAAAAAAAAATTTTTTTTAATAATAAAATAAAATATAAGATAATAGCTAGATAAATGAAATAATTTATCCAATTCCTGCTCCAAGTTGTTAATCTGGCTCCTCCTCACATAGCCTTTTTTTAGAGTTAAATTTGTTGATGAAATCAGTTTCTTCCACAATTCTATTCCAAAAATTCTTTGTGCAAGATATAAAATTCAAAGTGAACTGATCATTGTTATATGTATTGAATTTTGTGGTTAATTGATCCAATTCTTCAAACCATAATCTTGTTCTTTCCTCAACTTCAATTTTCTTTCCTTTCTTTACATTATAAAGTAATTGAAGAAGGGGTTGATTTTCCAATACATGTTCTTGAGTACTGATGTTGCTGTTATATGTAAAACTTGGTTCAAGATTAAAAATTTGTGGCAAAAAACCTTCAAAAAATGGCTTCAAAGTTGTAATATTATTTGACTTTTTTAATAAATTTAAATGTGTCAATTCAAATGGAATATTATTTTGACAAAATTCATTATAAATAGATATGATTGATTCAAATGCATGATGAGTTATTCTTGCTGGTATTGCTCTTTCTGGGTGAAGTTGCAGTTCTCTATCAACCCAAACTTTAGATATAATTATATCATTAAAACACAATCTTGTTATTAATGAATCTGGATTGAAATTTTTTAACACCCATTTGTACAAGTTGCTGCTTAATCTTAATGATCTTATATTATTAATTGGTGCTTCAATATTTGAATTTATAAATTTATAATTATCATCACATATTAATTTTTCAACATAATATTTTGTCCAATAATAATTATTTTTTCCAAAATTCTCAATATTATGTGGATAATAATTATAACCATAATTATGATACTTAGTTGATTTTTTGTTGATATTATTTATAGTGTTGACATTATTTATATCATTGTCAGTGTTGTGAGTAGAAGAGTTATTTTGTTTAAAAATTTGAAAATCAATTAATTTTTTTCTGGTTTTATCATCAAAATAATAATAAACTAGGGCTTTAAGAAAGATGTGTTCCAATTGATTTTCTTCAATTTGTATCTTTAGAAAATTTAGAACTTGATGTCTTTTCAAATTCCTGTTGATTTTGATAGTTTCTACAACACAACATTCAACAATTTCAAGCTTGTCAGACTCCTAACAACCTGAAAAGCTCCCAAGAGTATCCCTCCGATTTCATTAAGGTGTTGTTCATATAAAATTAAAATATCAGCCATGATAGATTTTGTCAGCTTGAATCCAACTTTGATTAATTGTTGAAGCTGTTCAACAAAATCATTTGTAGTTGGATAAATACAAACTTCATCATTTTTATGATTTGGATAGAATAGAATCAGCAATGATCCTTGTAATACTAAATTATTGACATTTTTACATACATCATAGTAGCCAATTTTTTTCAAAGTTCTACAATTTCAGGATAGATTGATATTGCTCTGGCAATTATATTCAGTTGCTTATTGTTTTCAAATCCATCCTTGGTTGGATATTCTTCATGGTTAAGTATTTGCATTTTGATTTGATAATCAATAGAGTCTTCAAATGGAATTGTTGGTCTTGGTGGGAAAGGTACAAATTTTTTATCTAATATAAGATCCTTTATTTTTTCAAGATTTTCTTTTAATTTTTTTGGAGCCAAATCAATAGGTAATGGTCCACCAGTAAAAAAATGAAAAGCTTCAATATCATTTCCTTTCAAAGGAAGGTCTGCACCATACTGATCTTTAGCTGCTTTTAACAAGTCTATAAATACTGCTACTGGAATGTTTGAAGCCCAAGGATTTCTATAATATTTTTGAGAAGCTATGGATATTTCTTGATCTGTGCCATTATTATTATTATTGATTTCTAGTTCAGTTAGATTATTATCTGATTTTCCAAAATGTAATAATAACCTTTGTACAAGATATCTAGATAAAATCACTTTTTCTTTGATAAGAATACCAACTAAATCTGGTGAGATAAAAGTATGGCCATAATTAATTGCATAAAAAAACACATGTGCCTTGCAATGGCGCTCGATGATCCACTTTGCTCTTATGTCAAGGCTTTTTGATACTTCATACCACTCTTTATTGGTCAAAATTAGTGATAAAGGACTTTTAGTGTATATAAAATTTTCTCTTTAATATTAATTTTTAAATCCATATGTAAAAATTTTTATGCAGATCCTACGGCGTAAACTGATTGTATCACATAAGGTTGCAAAAATAAGTTTGTTTATTGCTGCCAGTGATTACATAGGACCTACCTGATAAAATTAAATCAAGCCATTAATCATTTACATATATAACGGCTTTAGATACTTAAAATGCACTCAAAATATACTTTATACGTTTAAAATATACTTAAAACATAAAACATACTGGCAAAAAAAACGAGGATATTTTAAGTGAATATGAGTGTATGAAATCATACTTACACAGCTTCCTTAACAATATACAGTCAGAACTCGTTAAACCGAAGTCAATGTTTTCACAAAAAAAAATTTTTTATCGGCTCATCATGTGTGTATATATATTTCGTTTTATCATCTTAACAAGTTCTGACTGTAATATCCATTTTCTTTTGTTGCACAGGTAAAATCGATAAATCAAACAATTGTTAAATACTTTGTTAATATAAATAAACTTAAAGGGTTACTTGATTTTTTTTCCCAAATATGTTTCAAGTATGTATATTTTAGAGGAATTCGTGTACATTTTAAGCATGCTTTAAGGGCATTTTCAGTATCAGTTTTTTTTTTTTGTAGTTTATCTACAGTCATAAAAACAGTTTAACTTACCTTTTAACTAGATTTTGGAATATATTTAAAAAGTTTTATAAACATACAACCAGTTTCAAAATCTACGAGGATCAACCTTTTAATAGGGGTGTCTGGGTGGTTATGTGTAACCCCAATTTTAATTAGTAGATTGGGTCATGTTTACTGGGTAAGAGGTTTAACCCTAGGATCAACGTCTCAAATGGTAAGGTTAACCCTTGTTGCATGGCTGCACTCGATCAGATGCTACATCCTTAAATGGTTAAAGCTCTCCTTAAAACCTTTTGATTTTATAAAATGATCTTTCCATTTAAGGCCCGATAATAGCTGTATTTTCTTAATTTTTATACTTGTACGAAACCAAATATATCACAAACAAAAAAATAAAATCATTAAACCCATTTAAAGAAGTGGTGCCATGTTATAATAACCCGAGCCAAATTTTTGATATTAATACGTTTCATTTTATTTGCAAATATCGCATATTCAGCAACAATAAAAATTATTTTAAAAAAAATTGCAAAAAAATTTCCTGACGTCTGATATGTATTTTTCCTGGGAAAATTTTTTTTTTACATATATGAATTTATTGAAAAATGAAGAAAAATATAAATTTATAATCTTATTTTTAATATTTTAACCTTCAAGTGAAATAAAACAAAATAAAAATGTATACGGTCAAATTGTATTAATACAAATATATAAAATAAAATAAAAATTTATAATAGTTCCAACAGTCGATTTACAATATCTAGAAGCTGTTGGCGGCTAATTACTATTTGATCATTTTGATAAGTATTAGTAATTTGAGAGCCTTGATAAGCGGTGCTCACGTTGTTATTGTTATTATTGGCACCTGTTAGAATCATACTGTTTTGACCGTCAGAATTGCTATTAAAAGTGCCTTGTTGATTGAAATTGTTGTAAACTAAGTTTCCATGGGTAAAGTTAGTAAACTCGACGTTTTGATTATTTTGAATAGAAGCCGAACCGGTAAATTTTGTTTGTCCATTTGGATGAGAAACAAATTAAAATTTTGGTTATTGACACCTATTTGAACCGTACTGTTTGGACCAACAGAATCGCTGTTAAAAGTGCCTTGTTGATTGAGATTGTCATGAGCTAAGTTTCCATGGGTAAAGTCAGTAAACTCGGCATTTTGATTGTTTTGAATAGGAGATGAGCCAGTAAAGTTTGTTTCTCCGTTTGAATGAAGAACAAGATTAGGGTCTGGGTTATTAGAACCATTAACCAAATCATTATTGTCATAACTTTGATAATCCATTTTTAATTTTTTAATTTTTTTTTTAGTAAATTTTTTTAAATATTGGTTTTTGTTTATTTTCAGGTGCTTTTATAGCGATTTAGACTATTGTATAAAAATTTTTTTACTTTAACGTCTAATTAAACAATATAAATTATTTTTGTGTGATTTTTTTTTTATTCCAAGATTAGTATAACGTAAATAAAAATAATAACGTCTGCAATGCTGCTGTCCAATAACTTGTATTCGTTAAATTTGTCTGTGGCATTAACACTTTTAGTAAAGTATCCATCACAAGATTAGATGATAGATTTCCAAAACATAAAATCCACCCGATGATATACAATCAAACACTATTATTTATGTTGTTTGTAGGAAAATATTCATTTCAAAGTTCACAGCATTCTCAATTTTAAACTTGTTTTAATAAAAAAAACTGGTTATTGCAATCTTTTTCAAAGAAAAAGCCAATAAGAATATTCATCACACAATTGATAATGAATTGTAGATTTTGTATTATTACGTCCAATGTGTAAATTCAATCGAAAAAAGTTTTAGTTTCTCAATGGTTATATATATATATATGTTTTTTCAAAATCAAAAATTTTCCATTTCTAGTCCGTTTAATCATATCATTAAATGATTACTCAAAGTATCAATATTCATTATATTTCTTATTTATATCTTATTGGAGAATATTCTCTTTACTCGAGCATTAGAAAGAGGTATAATCAGTGCTATTTTAAGAATAAGTGCTGTATTTGGATGAATAATCCCAATATTTGTTTCCATAATCGAATAAAACTCCTTTATACTGTATTAGTATATTTTTAATTACCAAATAATCATACAACAGATATGTTTATCTGTTGCGCCGCTGTATTTTTGCGAAATTTTTAGAAAATATGGGCTTATAAAAACTTTTAAATGTATTCCTAACTATTTTCTCTACTCGAGCATTAGAAAGAGGTATAATCAGTGCTATTTTAAGAATAAGTGCTGTATTTGGATAGTTAAAAGAAGTTTCCATAATTGAATAAAACTCCTTTATACTGTATTAGTATATTTTTAATTACCAAATAATCAAACAACAGATATGTTTATCTGTTGCGCCACTGTATCTTTGCGAAATTTTTAGAAAATATGGGCTTACAAAAACTTTTAAATGTATTCCTAACTATTTTTATGTCTGTAATACTGAAAAATGCCCTAAATATAAAAAATACTTGAAATATACCGTAAATTTCAGAAAGATAACACCTCGTACTATACTAGTACTTGAAACAACTGTTACACGGTCGTAAAAAGGGGTGTTATCTTTCCAGACTTTTACACAGGTAAACCAGATAAGTCGGACATTTATTTATTATATTAATGAATGCTTTAAATAATTGATTGAGAGGACTAACTTGTCGAGTTTATCTATATATGTATATATTTAAAAACTTTAACATACTTTTCAGCATACACATGTAAATTCGATAAGTCAGACGCAGCAGTCAATTGTTTAAAGTATTTGTTTGATAATCTAAATAAATGACCGACTTATTGAGTTTACCTGTGTGGTGTGATTTCATACACTCATAATTCACCTAAAATATTGATAATAATAAAAGTGAATTTGAAATCGAAACGAAAATTTGGGCGGGTGGTGACTACAACTTGATTGGTAATTTGAATTTCTAATCTTTTTTATTTTTTATGTAGATCATATCAAATATATCCAAGAAACAAGACAGCAAAAACAACTTCTCCACGGGTGCCTCCAACATTATCCTCTTCCTTGACAATTTTCTCTCCGCAAACAAGTTTAAGATTATCTTCCTCATCCTCCTCCATTCACCAACATTAACAACAGAAACGACAAGTAGAAGAAGTGGTGAAAGATATCGATCATAATGATTTTTATCAAGAAGATTTGTTGGATGTTGCCATTACTAAAGATTTCAACTGAAAACATTAGCATGAAACTTGATCAAAAAAAAAACAGAAGACAGAATGTAAATAGCAATAACAAATTAATGATTTATTTATTTATTTACTTTCTTTTCTAAAATTTGTATATTTTATCTTGATAAATAAATAATAATTACACCGTTTATGTTGGTACTACTGCTATCAGATGCGCTTTGCTGGATTACAGAGTTTACTATAGGATGCAGTTTTTTTTCAAGTTACATTCATTTTGTTTTGGTAAAAAAAAATTATAAATTAATGATATTATGTTTGACAAATCGTACTAGTGCGTAATAATCCCACTTCTTAAATAGAAAGCTCTGGTCTTAGGAGCCCGAAACATTTAATCTTCAATTTGAAATTAATAAGACTGATTTATCTACAGTCAATCCTTGCCGCAACGGGCACGGAGAATTTCAAATCCGTTATTACTAATACTAATACTAATACTAATCTCATTATAACGGATTTTATATTATATGTAAACAAAAATTTAATCATAACAAAAGGTAATAGGAATTATATTTATGTACAATCAAATAAAAGAAACGTAAAATATAAATTGTCTACCCCGTCATATTTAACTGGTCGAAAAAAATTTTAGACACCAAAACAAATCTGTTGTGACAATATTTGTCATCATTCATTGCATTATAAAAAAATGAATTTATATAGTAATAGAATATTAATATTATTACATCCGTGAGAAAAATGATTTACTAAAATTTTATCTATTTTAATACTGGATTTAGCCCGATGGCACGTGATGGACGATAATTCCAATTTTCCATTACCATTGAGAAATTTCTTTTCATTTTATTCCCAGTTCGTAAAACCTTAATACTCTATTTCAAACACTCGAGCATTTTTTTTTGATTTGTTTTGATTTATTTAAAGAAAAAAAATTAAAAGTTAAAGATGGCCCAGATTACTTATATAACAGTGTAATTCATGGAATAGTTAATTAACGATCCGTCGAATCATCCTTTTTTCAATTAGGCTATATAAAAAAAGATCAATTAAACTTTAAACGATATGATAATAAATTATTTAAACTTTCATCGAATTATTTAAATAATAATAAAAATAAAATTCGAAAATTTTTTTTAAAAAAAAAAAATAAATTCATAATTACAATCGATACATTTTTTTATTACAATTATTGTTTTAGTATTACGATAATAAAGGGGTTATAATTTTCGATTCTTATTTACCAAAAGAAGTTTACAAAATAAAGATAAAAATATATTCTTTTTTAATTAAATTGACTTTTTTTGTTTTTACTCGAGTCCTCACTTTACAAGGTTTTTATTTTATTTCTTATTTTGAATAAAATACTAAAGATTAAAAATATTAATATGGATATTTATATAATTGAAAGAATAACAAAAGAGTAAAAAAAAAACCGCGTATGCCTGTGTCACTAGCACTATAATAAAAAAATGGGTCAATGTTCATTTTTCCATATTTTGATGATATCATTTAGTATTAATAAATTAAAATCATTATTTGCATACACATATAAACTCGATAAGTCGGATACAGCAATCAATTGTTTAAAGTACTTTATAATATAAATAAATGTTCGATTTATCGAGTTTAGATGTATATTTATATAAAATATGTATTTATATAAACAATCTATTTTCTTTTCTCTCGATTGAGAGAAAAAAAAATGAAAAAAAAAATCAAAAATTAATATTTATACAAAATTCCCATTTTCGCTCATTTTAACCGATAAATCATAGTATAAAATATCAAAAGATCCCAAAGTAAGAGCAAACTGGATCATTAAAAATCATGGCAAAGCACATTCGTTTTTTTATGCGATCCGCTACGGTCATAACTTTATATCATTAGAATTAGTTGATCTTCTTATCAAAGAAAACGTGATTTTATCCGGATATCTCGTGCAACGATTATTATTGCAATTCGGAAAAACCGACGATAGTTTAATTGAATTAAAAACACAAAATGACATCAACGTTAACAACAATAATAATAACAACATGGGTCAAGAAATATTTAAAGCTTCTCGAAATATTATAGAAATCGTTGGACCTCGAATATTCCAGTAGCAGTATTTATAGCTTAGTTAAAAGAGGTCATGGCGAAGGTCTTCACTTGAAAGGGAATGACATTGAAATGTTTCATTTTTTGACAGGAGGTCCGTTGGCCATAGACTTGGCTCCAAGAAATTAATAGAAGATCCTGAAAAAATAAAGGATCTTATATTAATAAAAAATTCATATCAATAATTACATTTGAAGACTCAATTGATTACCAAATAGAAATGCAAATACTTATTGTAAAGAGTATCCAGCCAAGGATGTATTTAAAAACAACAAGCAATTTGAACATAATTGCAAGAGCAATATTAATTTATCCTGAAATAGTAGAATTCTGCAAACAAATTGGGTTCTTTGCTAATTATATTCTACCCAAATTATAAAAATGAAGTTGTAATTATCCAACTACAATTGATTTCATTGAATGCATACAACAATTGGTCAAAGTTGGATTCAATTTGACAAAATCTGTCATGACTGATATTTTAACAACTGCAATTAGCTGCAATTCAATTTTCATGTGCTGCAATTAGTTGCAATTAATCAAGGAACCATATTTAGCAGAAACTGATAATATCAACAAACCTAAATAAAAAAAAAAGAAAATTGGGATATTTGGCACAACGTGGAACAGAAAATGGAAAAAATTGGTTAGGGAACTTGAAGAAAGAAAAGATATTACACTACAATTATTGTTGTTTTTAATGGAATATCCTTTTAACAATTCAATATAATTTAGATATTTCTTGATCCATGTCATTGTTATTACTGTTGTTTTTGTTGTTTTTGTTGTTGTTGTTGTTGACATTGATGTCATCTTGTATTTTTAGTTCAATTAGACTATCATCTGTTTTTCCGAATTGTAATAATAATCTTTGCACAAGATATCTAGATAAAAGTCACGTTTTCTTTGATAAGAAGATCGACTAATTCTAATGATATAAAGTTATGAGCAATGTGTTTTTCCGTAGTTTTTAATGATCCAATTTGCTCTTACTTTGGATCTTTGATAGTTTATACCATGCTTTTATCAGTTAAAATGTAAATTTTGTATTTATATATATTATTATTTTTTTCTTTCTCTCAAAACGGACATTATTTACACATGATTACATATATATAACAAATAAATGAAAAAGTAAAAAATAATACATGATGCGGGTTCTTGTATTTACCCTATAAAATTTTTTTTCAGAAAATGTATGGTTTTTCCATACATTTTCCGTGCGTTTTGTATGGAATTTTACGGAATTATACATGAAAAGAGCGCTTTTCTGTACATATTTGTCCTGAAAATACCCGAAAATACATTCCGCACATTACCACAGCAAATCTCATTCGTTTTTTTACACGATTCGCTATAATAACTTTATATCATTAGAATTAGTTGATCTTCTTATCAAAGAAAACGTGACTTTTATCTAGATATCTCGTGCAACGATTATTATTACAATTCGGAAAAACTGACGATAGTTTAATTGAATTAAAAATACAAAATGACATCAACACCAACAACAACAACAGCAATAATAATGACATGGATCAAGGAATATCTAAAGCTTCTCGAAAATATTATAGAAATCCCTGGGCCTCAAATATTCCAGTAATTGTATTTGTAGCTTTGTTAAAAGAAGCCAAACTACAGGATGGTGAAAGCCTTCCCTTGAAAGGAAATGATATTGAAGTGTTTCATTTTTTAACAGGAGGTCCATTAGCTATAGACTTGGCTCCAAAAAAAATAATTGAAAAAATAAAGGATCTTATATTAAATAAAAAGTTCATACCTTTCCCCAAGACCAGCGATCCCATTTGAAGACCCAGTTGATTACCAAATAGAAATGCAAATACTTAATCATAAAGAATATCCAGCCAAAGACGGATTTGAAAACAACAAGCAATTGAACATAATTGCAAGAGCAATATTAATTTATCCTGAACTCGTAGAATTCTGGAAACGATGATATATGTAAAGATGTCAATAATTTAGTGTTACAAGGTTCTTTGCTAATTTTATACTACCCAAATTATAGAAATGAGGAAGTTTGTAATTATCCAACTATGATTGATTTCATTGAATTCATACAACAATTGGTCAAAGTTGGATTCAATTTGACAAAATCTGATATTTTAATTTTGTACAAACAACATATTGATAAAATTGGAATAATGCTTTTAGAAGTCTTTCAAATTGTTAGAAATCAATCGAAATCTAATGTTGTTTGATATTGTATTCTAAAAGCTATTAAAGTCAACAGAATTCGAAAAATCCTCAAAGTTTCAAATTTTTTCCAAGGATGCAAATTGCTTAGAACTTATATTTCTTAAAGCACTAGTTTATCATTATTTTGATAACGAGACCAAGAAAAGATTAATTGATTTTCAAATTTTTGATAATAATAGATCTTTTGCCCACAACACTGACAGTTTAATTAGCAGCAATAATATAAGTAATATCAATATTATAGATAACATAAATCAAGAGTCTGTTAGTTAATATTATAAATATGATTATTATCATGACTATGGTTATAAATATTATCCACACAATATCAAGGATTTGAGGAATGGTTATTATTGGACAGAATATTATGTTAACAGATTGATATATGATGATACTTGTAAATTGTAAATTCAGATATTGAAATGCCAGTTAACAATATAAGATCATTGAGATTAAGTGGTCATTTTATAGATGGGTGTTAAAAAAAATTCAATCCAGATTCATTAATCACAAGATTATGCTTCAATGATATAATTATATCAAAGGTGTGGATTGATAGATAGTTGTTACTCCATCCTGAAAGATTAATACCAGAAAGAATAACCAGCTGTGCATTTGATTTGATCATATCTACTTACAATGAATTTTAATCTCAAACCAACTTTTAAATACACTAACAGTACCAGAAAACATTGATTGAAAAAACAACTACCATTGCAAATCCAGCCTCTTTTTCAAATGCTTGATGTTCATGAGAAGAAAATTGAAGTTAAGGAGGGAACAACATTATTGTTTTCTGAATTGGAACAAGTTTATCAAGAAGTAACAATGCAATTAAATACAAACACACATAATAATCAGCTCACTTTGAATTTTATATTTTATGAGAAATTTTTGGAATAGGCTTATGGCAGAAACTGATTTATATCAACAATCTTAAATCAAAAAAAGAAAAATTAGGACATTGGCACAACGTGGAACAGAAAACGGGTTGGAGACCAATAAAAGAAAATGGACCAAAGAAAAATTTGATTAGGGAACTTGAAGAAAGAAAAAATATAATACTATAATTATTGTTATCTTTAATGGAATATCCTTTTAATATAATTATACCAATATAAATATTCATATTGTGTATAGATATTTTTTAATACATGTCATTATTATTACTGTTGTTGTTGTTGACGTTGATGTCATTTTGTATTTTTAGTTCAAATAGGCGATCATCTTTTTTCCGAATTGTATCCAGATAAAATCACGTTTTCTTTGGTAAGGAAATCAACAAATTCTAATTACCATACGGGCTGAAATTGGACATTTACATAATAAAATGTGATATTTCGAGACAAAATTGTTTTATATAAAAAAAATTTTTTTTTATTTTTCATTTTAAACTAATAAGCAACGTTTATTATATGTTTTTCCAATCATATGTTATATATGTTTTCCAATCCTATGTAAGTCATTTATTTTATGCCTTTAGCCACATCGGATTATAATTATAAGTTTTGCTTGATATAAATACGTTATGGCGAAATTTGAAATTCTCCGTGCATCCACCATGTCAAGTACAAGGTTTGACTGTAGTAGATAAAAGACATTGAAAATCAAGTCAGCAAGAGTTTATTGAACATTAAACCTATTTGTTAACTTGTTTCAGAGAAACATGAATAATAACGACAAAGGATCTTTTATATGAACAGGTAGTAAAGTTTTTCCTAGGGATCTTCAAAGAATAATTCCATCAGCCAAGTAATGTCAGTCGTAAATATAAATAAATAATAATAGGGAATATGAATATCAATATATATTTATTTATCATTATAAGTAATGACCGATTTTTTTCTCTCAAGAGGAAAAAAAAATCAAAAAATTAATATTTATATATACAAAATTTCCACTCATTTTAACTGATAAATCATGGTATAAAATATCAAAAGACCCTAAAACAAGAGCAAATTAAATCATTAAAAACCACATCAAAGCACATTCATTTTTTTATGCAATTGCTATAGTCATAACTTTGGAACATAGATATCTTGCGCAACAATTATTGTTACAATTCGGAAAAACTGACGATAGTCTAATTGAACTAAAAATACAAAACAACAATAACAGTAATGTGGTATAATCATATTAAAAAGATATTCCATTAAAGATAACGATAATTATAGTATAATATTTTTCTTCATTTTCTTCTATTGGTCTCCAACCCATTTTCTGTTCCACGTTGTGCCAAAACATCCTATTTAGGATTGTTGATATAAATCAGTTTCTGCCATAAGCCTATTCCAAAAATTTCTCATAAAATATAAAATTCAAAGTGAGCTGATTATTATGTGTGTTTGCATTTAATTGCATTGTTACCTCTTGATAAACTTGTTCCAATTCAGAAAATAATAATGTTGTTCTCTCCTCAACTTCAATTTTCTTCTCATAAACATCAAGCAGTTGAAAAAGAGGCTGGTTTTGTAATAGTAGTTGTTTTTTTCATCCATGTTTTCTGGTGCTATGCTGTTATTGTATTTAAAAGTTTGTTCGAGATTAAAAATTTGGGGCAAAAACCCTTTAAAAAATAGTTTTAAAGTTGTTATATTGTTTGATTTGTTTAATAAATTTAAATGGATCAATTCAAATGGAATATTATTCTGACAAAATTCATTGTAAATAGGTATGATCAAATCAAATGCACAGCTGGTTATTCTTTCTGGTATTGATCTTTCAGGATGGAGTAACAACTCTCTATCAATCCACATTTTTGATATAATTATATCATTGAAGCATAACCTTGTGATTAATAAATTTGCTTCTACTGGAATATTCGAGACTCAAGGATTTCTATAATAATTTTTCGAGAAGCTTTAGATATTCGTGGTTCATATTGTTATTATTGTTGTTGTTGTTGTTGAAGTTGAGGTCACTTTGTATTTCTAGTTTAATTAGATTATCATCCATTTTTACGAATTGTAATAATAATCGTTACACAATATATCTAGATAAAAAATCACATGTTCCCTTAGAAGATCAACTAATTCTATGGCAAAAAAAGTGCTTTGCCGTGGTTTTTAATGATCGAATTTACTCTTTTTTTTGGACTTTTGATATTTTATACCATAATTTAATCAGCTAAAATGAGTGAATATGGAAATTTGTATTTATAAATATTAATTTTATTGTTTTTTTTTTTTTATTTTTTCCTCTCAACCGAGAGAAAAAAATCGGTCATTAAATACAATTTACAAATAATGATTTTGTTTTATTATTATAATAAAAAAAAAACGGGACAATATTCATTTTTTCATATTATGGAATGATATCATTTGGTATAGTAACCTTGACTATTCTAGGGATTGTCCATATTTCCCTTCAACAAGTCAACAAACGAGTTCAATAAAAAGGGTACTAGTTTATCGTTAGCAAGTGTCTATTCGCTACATTTTTTTTCTCGTAGGCTACGCATAGAACCTGAATACAATTTCAACAAACTCCACGCCGACTTGATTTTTCAATCTTAAAATTACAATAAAGTCACGCCCCAAATAGAGGGGTCATATAATTTAATTATTTATATTTATCATTTATAACTTTATAATAACAAGAAAAAAATACAGGACAGGAACTATATATCCGATAAAAAATTCAAAGAACGAATAGTATTCAAAGAAGCGACCCCAAATATAAAATCAAGTGATTGTAATTATTGTATAATTATTAGTTGCCAAAACAGGTTGTTGTACAAAAATATAAATAATACTATACCATTAGTATTAGCGTTATAATTTACTTGCATGAATCAAAAACAAAATTTTTTTATAACAAAATTAAGAATATAAGCGCGCTTTTACATTTTTTAGTTGAATTTATTACACATGACAGATGAAATTGAAGAATTCAATAATTAAAAGCTGATTCCATTTATTACTCTCGCAAAAGCTTCAAAATAAAATTACTCAGTAAATTAAGTGCCTCAATATCTAATTTCTCCAAAATATGCTTAAGATAAATACTTGGCATGGAAATTATTAATCCAGACATAAACTTGTGAATAGCCCTGAACTTGAACCGGCTCTTAAAGAATTTGAGTAATCAAGGAATTATTTTTATTGGTGCTATGTGCAACCAATAAATGCAGTCACGCTATAACTATATAAAAGAAACATCATAAAATTTAAATTTAATAGTAAATTTTAATAATTAATTCCAATAATCGAAAATATTGTTAGAAAAAAGATCTTATTTATTATTGTCATTACCATTTCCATCTTTTTGTCATCATCAACGCCACAACTATAATCACCAGTTTCCTAAAGAAAATCATTATTTATGTACATCTGGTATTTGATCCGGTAACTGCAAGATTGTTTATTATTGTCGGACAATAAAACAATTACACACATATTCACATTCTAAATTGGTTATACAATAAAAATCAATCACTCGATTTTATATTTGGGTCGCTTCTTTGGATATTATTCGTTCTTTGAATTGCAGTTTTTTGGATGTTCCGTATTTTTTTCTTATCATTATAAAGTTATAAATGATAAATATAAATAATTAAATTATATGATCCTTCTGTTTGAGGCGTGACTTTATTGTAATTTTGAGATTGAAAAGTCAAGTCGGCGTGGAGTTTGTTGAAATTGTATACAAGTTCTATGCTTTTTTCAAAGAGCCTACGACAAAAAATTTATTCCTCAAAAAATCGTACTGTTAATAATGTCTAATTGTAAATAAATAATATGGAATATAAGTAAATAATAAGGAATATTTATTATTTATTACAAACAAACAAACAAAAAAATCTGAAATTCATGCGTGTGAAATTCAAGCTAAATTATTATAATATATACATTATGACCGATTTTTATCTCTCAGCCGAGGAAAAAAATGAAAAAAAAAATAAAAAAAATATTACAAAATTTCCATTTTAACTGATAAACCGTGGTATAAAATATCAAAAGACCCAAAATCAAGAGCAAATTGTATCATTAAAAACCATGGAAAAGCACATTCATTTTTTTATGCTAGCAATTCTTATAAGAGGACATGTGATTTTATCTAGAACTAAAAATACAAATGACAAATGACAATGATAATAAATAATGACACGGAAAATACTAATAATATTTTTATTTCTTCAAGTTCCCTATCCAAATTTTTTTTTAGTTCCATTTTTGTCCACATTGTGCTAAAATCCCAAATTTTTTTTTTGATTGATGTAATCAGTTTTTGCCATAAGTCTATCCCAAAAATTTCTCATATAAATACAAAATTCAAAGCGAGCTGATTATTATGCGTGTTTGTATTTTATTGCTGCTATTATATTTAAAAGTTGGGTAGAAACTTTTGAAAAATGGCTTTAAAATTGTTAAATTGTTTGCTTTCTTTAATAAATTTAAATGCATTAATTCAGGTGGAATATTACTCTGATAAAATTCATTGTACATAAATTGAATACAAGCTGGAGAATAAAATTAGCAAAGAATTCTGTAACACTAAATTATTGACATCTTTACATATATCATGGTAGCTGATTTGTTTCCAGAATTCTACTGCTCTTGCAATTATGTTCAATTGCTTGTTGTTTTCAAAACCGTCCTTGACCGGATACTCTTTACAATTAAGTATTTGCATTTCTATTTAGTAATAAATTGAGTCTTCAAATGGGATCATTGGTCTTGGAGGGAAAGTATAAGTTTTTTATTTAATATAAGATCCTTTGTTTTTTCAAGATTTTCAATTAATTTTTGGAGCCAAGTCTATGGCTAATGGTCCTCCTGTCAAAAAATGAAACATTTCAATGTCATTTCCTTTTAAGGTAAGACTTTCACCATATTGTAAGTTGGTCTCTTTTAGCAAAGCTATAAATACTGCTACTGGAATATTTGAGGCCCAAGGATTTCTATAATATTTTGAGAGGCTTTAGATGTTTCTTGATTCATGTTATTATTGTTGTTATCATTGACGTTGATGCCATTTTGTGTTTTTAGTTCAATTAGACTATCATCCGTTTTCTGAATTGTAATAATAATCATTGTACAAAATATCTAGATAAAGTCATGTTTTCTTTGATAAGAAGGTCGATTAATTCTAATGATATATATAACAAGTTGTAATGAACACTCTGGAGATAATTTTTCATCTGCTGTTTTCACTCCCAATGTATGACAATAAAAGGTTTTAATCTGTTAACAACTCTACTGCTAGTTTCAATTATATGTTTTGCATAAGCTAAACTGATCCTGTTTGCATGAATCTACCTCCAACAGGACCATATTTTATTAATAAATTTCAACATCTGTGTCAAATTCTTTCATTAAAAGCCTTTTCATGTTTCCTCAGCATGTAAATTAGTAACCATAATAAACCTTTTTATAATCTATTGGTTCAAGATTTAATGAATTATAACATCTTTCATCTTCAGCATTTTTAAAAATTGAGTTGAAGGTTTTGATGGTGTGAATCTAAGTTCTCTACATTAGGTTTAAAATTACGTTCTTCAATCCAATTATAAAAACAATTTTGTGTAATAACTTGTAAACTTGGCAATATTTTTTTTTAGTTGTTTGATATCATAATAAAACTCCAATGGAAAATCAGAATATGCATTCATTTCAGAATTTCCAACATTCATCAATACCAATGTTCTATTCAAGAATATTCCCAATCTTGCAAGTGATGAGAAATGCAAATTGAGTCTAGTTTCTTGTTCTCTGAATGGCATATAAACAAACATAAATTTGCATTTTGGTTCACCACAATATTTCAAATTCATAGAAATATCTGGTGAGAGAATTGGAGGTGATGAATAGTGTTGACTTCCAAAACTAGAGAGTTTCGCAACCATACAAAATTCAAAATTAGTTTTGATTTTTGACTATTGACTTTTGATTTAGCTTTGACATAATAACTTTTAATTTTAGTTGACATTCATCTCTTCAAAATAGTTTTGTCAGCCAACACTAGTGGTGATTGTGCTTGAGTTAAAGTAGATGACATATTTTGATTATTAGATAATATATCTTCTTGTGATAGAATTGGAGGGGGTGGTAATGAAGATGACAATAATGAAAATTTTAGATAATATAGTTGGCTTGGTCTAAAGGCCTCCTAAATTTTGGGCAAATTTTAAAAGTATAGAAGTCATTTTCTGTCCTATCTTTTAAAAAAATAGCTCTATTAGTTGATAGAATATGTATTTAGTTTTAATGTAATAAAGAGATTTTCTCAAAAAAATTATTTGTTGTAGAGTTCTATTCTTTTTTAAAACATGCACTTTACTATGCTCATGAGAAATTTGAGCACTAGGATCATTGCTAAATTTAGACTAGTTTTCTATTATCATTACTAAATTTAGACTAATACTCGACCATCATATCTAAATTTGGCAGTAATTTTAGCCAAAATCACGTGAAACCCTTTTTATTATTGCATTTTTGCGAAATCGCAATTTTTGAAATTTGAGCGCGCAGCGCAGCAATAGGAGGTCTTTAGACCGAGCCAACCATCAGTGGTTGTATCTGCTGAATGATATTCATCGATTACTCACCGATTATCCGGTTAATCGGGGTGTTGAAAATTTTCACCGGATAATTGGTGAATAATCGGCGGTACAAAAATATAATAATGATAATAGAAAATAAAAATTTTTATATGCGTAATTGAAAGAATACATTAACATGTTAATACTATTTTATCCACTATTGCACTATCACCAACATTCTTTCTATTATAACAATATATCAAGTAATATGAATACTAACTGTGTCATTATTATTTAAAGAATATTTATGCATTGCAGTAACTTCTATTCCAAATGAGCAAAGCGGACTATAATTATAACGGATTTTTAAATTTTTGTTTCACATTCACATTAAATATAAAAACATAAAAATCCATTGTGGCAAGATCAGTAAATC